GCTTGTTCACCTGGCTCAGGGGCACCCACCAAAGGAGTGTGATCGACTAGTGCGCAGCAAAATCCGATGAGGGAGCGCCGATACTGCTGAGTGTGTGTGTAACCCTTGGAGTCACAGTCATCCGTTTGGATTGTTCTTTGTTTTTGTTGTTAATTAGATTTGCAGGGGGATCGCACGGATTGTTGTTAATCAGTACGCGTAATCTCAAGTGTGTCTGGCTTCTCGCCAGCCCAGGGTGAGCCCGGAGAGTGCCCCCTGTGGACCCGTCGAACGGGGGTTTGTCGAATGTATCCCCTCCCCGGATACAGAGCAGCTCGCAGCGAGCGTAGGAGGCTTGAGCCAAAGTTGCCTGCCAAGACCTGACGAATTATTGAATTCCAAGCTGGCCGCCGTTTTGGCATGCCTTTAGGTGACCACAGCGGTCTCAAGTCGGCCGCCATTTGGGCGTGGCACAAGGTGACCAGAGCGGTCAAAGCATTTTCTAGGTTCATTGGAACCTGTCACCGCCTCAGGTGCACACACAGCACGTACACGTTCAACGAGGCTGGGTTTTCAGGTTTTATTTGGTTCTCTAATGAGGTTTGGGTTCATTGGTTCTCGGCCCCTCCATCTCCCCGTTTCATTTTTCCCCTTTCACCTACACTTTCTTTCCTCCTTCTGTTTCATGTCTTTCCTTGCTTCATGTCCTGTCATCTCACTCCTTTTTCCCCAACCAGTTTACTGTTGGGGTTCTATCTTAGAAAGAAAGAGGTAGCCACACTCACTGGCCGCGCCCCTGAACTCTGTGGCTGGGCCGCCTGTGTCCAGGCCTTGTCACTCTGTGGCTGGGCTCTGAGTCCAGGCCTTGTCCTTTTGTGTCCCTTCTCTGAACTCTGTGGCTGGGCTCTGTGGCTGGGCTCTGTGTCCAGGCCTTGTCCTCCTCTTGTCCTCCTTTTGGCCGCACCCTGAACTCTGTCAACTCTGTGGCTGGGCCCTGTGTCCAGGCCTTGTCCTCCTCTTGGCCGCGCCCCTGAACTCAGTGAACTCTGTGGCCGCCCTCCTGTCGCCCGGCTCTGTGTCCAGGTCTTGTCCTCCTCTTGTCCTTGTCGTGTCCGGGTCTTGTCCTCCTTGTCTTGACCGCGCCCGTGAACTCTGGCTGGGCTCCGCCACTTGGTGCTCCTCTCGTCGTCCTGTTGTTTCGCGGAGCGTGTTGCGCAAGCTTCTCAACATTTTGGGTGTGCGCCAGCGCGCTCCAGGCTCCGGCGCGCTCTGTATGTACGCTGGCAGCGCGCTGCGGGCGCGCTCGGCAGGTGTTTGCATGGAACGCGCAGGCAGCGTGCTCTGAAGTTCGGTGCCCTCTCTTCAATTAGCGCGCAATTCCTTAAAGGTTGCTTCTTGAAGGCGCGTGGAGAGAGTTTTGGGCGCGCTCCAGGAACAGTTATGTATAAAGCGCGATGGCAGCGCGCCCCAAAGGCGCGCTCCAGGCGCGCTCGACTGGCTCTGGGCGCGCTCTGTCTGGAAGGCGTTGGCAGCTCGCTCTGGTGAAAGGTGTATAGCTGTTCCTGTGAGCCCTAAATTTTTTGAATCAATCTGTTGGGCGAGAGGGGTGCCCTCTTGAGTTATTTTGGGCGCGCGGTGTAGAACATGCTGGGGGCGCGCTGTTGGTCGCGCTTGGGAGCACATTTCACAAATAGTTCCCAGTTTATTGAAAATTTTCGACTGGCTGGCCGCGCCCGTCCTCCTCTCCTCCTCCTCCTCCTCTGTTCTTGTCCTCTGGCTGCCTCTTCTCTTGCCCTCGTCTTGGCGTTGCAGGGCGGACTCTGCAACGTTCGGTCAGCGCGCTCGGCCCGCCCTTGGGGAGCGTGCTTTGGAGCGCTTGCTTCACGTTGCGCGCGCTCCCTTGCCCATCCAATTTTGCCGCAAGCTTCTCAAACATTTTTTGGGTGTGCGCCAGCGCGCTCCAGGCACGCTCGGGGAGTGTGCTTGCTTATGGATGCGCGCTCCGGCGCGCTCTGTTTACCTGCTGCCAGCGCGCTCCGGGCGCGCTCGGCAGGTGTTTGGAGGACACGTTACAGGTGCGCTCTGGAACGCGCTGGCAGCACAGTTTGAAGAACGGTTGGCCAGCGCAGCCAGACGACAAGAACAGGACAAAAGGAGAGGAGGACAGGAGGACGAGACAAGAGGAGGACAAGAGAAGGACAAGAGGGGGAGAAGAGAAGGACAAAAGGCAGCCAGAGGCCGACAACAGGACTAGAGAAGGACAAGAGGAGGAGGAGAGGAGGACAAGAGGAGGAGAAGAGGACCGACGCGAAAAACAATTCAGGGGCGCGGCCAGTGTGGCCAGCTCCTGTTTTCCTAAGACACAACCCAAACAGTAAACTGTTTGGTGAACAATTCCAAGCCACTCGGAACTATTCTTCTTCTAGGGTAGCTTGATAGTCCTTCAGTCTTTAAAGCTGGGACGCGCTCCCAAGCGCTGCAAAACACACTCCCGGCAAGGCCCACAGGGCGCGCCTGGAGCGCGCCCAGACTAGACGAGAACACCTCCTTTTGTCCTTTTCTTGTCCTCTTCTTGTCCTCCTTGCCTCCTCCTCTTGTCCTCCTCGTCCTTTGGCCGCGCTGGCAAACATTGTGTCTTCCTCCTGCTTCTAGTGGCCACGTTTTCGAGCCATGTGCGTCGTCCTGGTGTTTTGCGCTGTCCTTGTGCCACGGTCGCAAACCCCGTGTCCTTCTTTGTTGTTGGTCCAGGTCTGCCTGTCCTGCTTGTCCACGTAGTGGGCCCGTCTATCACCGTCTTACCAGGGGCTTGTCCCCTGCTTGGCCACGCCGTTTTTCCTATCTCCACCGCCTTGTCTGGGTATGTTTTCATGTGGCTATGAATGCAACTGTGACACAGCGATCGAAATGCGATATCACCATCGGATCTCCTCACGATATATATATATATATATATCCGGTATCCCATCGTTTTGCGCGTGTGACACAGGCATCAGGAACTGTTTTCAAACATTTATTGTTTAGGTGCAGTTCCCAAACAGCTGGAGGCTTTAGAAATGTATACTTGCATTCGTTTCCACCAACATTGGAATTTTCGGAGTTGACGCCGACGCCGACAAAAATGCTGACCCTGTTTGGGGTCTATGCTGGTGTAATTTTCTCTTGCGTGCACATCGGTCCAGGCCTTAGTCTGTACGCGCGCATCTGCTGTACACTTAGGTTTTAGGTCGCCAAGGTTCTGATAAGGAGGTTTGGCTCACCGTTTGTCCCTGTGCCTTTGGTTCCTTTTTCGTTTGCAACCACACACACTTTTGTCCCATCTGTCCTCTTTCTTTCTCATGTCTTCATCTTTTTGTCCATGCTGCGCGCACAAACGCACATTTGTTCGTCACTTAGTTTCTGCCTCCCCTCGGGGAGGCGTGCGTGTGTAACCCTTGGAGTCACAGGGATCCGTTGTTCTTGCTGTTATAATTTGCAGGGGGATCACCCACGGACTTGACTGGTGATCCAACGAAGAGGGTCAAGCTCCGTGCTGAAATCTGGCCTGATCAGCCAGACGTACCTGCTGTGATTACCACTTGCTTCCTCATGGGCTCCTTTGTCCCTGCAACAAGAATTCTGGCCATCGCACTTGTTTGCATCGGCAGTCACGCTCTTGGTTTTGATTTTGAGCTTGCAGTTTGAGCCTGGAGGTTTGCAGGGTTCTCGTCACTGTGAGGGAAATCATTTGCTGTTGTTTTTACTTGAATCCTCTGGTTTTTCAATTGGCTGCCTGTGGCAAGCCGCAACCAAATCAGTACGCATAATCTCAAGTGTGTGTCACCTCCCGCTCCAAGGGTGAATGGCCACATTGTCTGTTTGCCTCTAACCTTCAGGAACTTTTACTTCGTCTTTTGCATAGGGTTGCAACAATCGCTGGGGATCGCTGCACGTCTCCTTGGAAAACGTACCTGCAGTGGTGCACTGCACCTTGGCGCATTGTCAGCCGCAGCTGGTAGCCACCCCTCTTTTTAATTCGATCGTAAAATGCTAATGAGTCCTTGTTGAAACCTTCTGTTGAGCTGACCCTTCTCTTTTACGGCTAAGCGCTAAGTATTCAGCAACTAGCTCACGGGAATTTCCAAACTGGTATAGCTCTTGCGAGCATGGATCTAAGTGTGTGCATGTATGCACGCGTAAGTTTGGTGTGTGCCAGCTAGTGTATGGGAGGAGGGCGGGAGGAGGGAGGAGGAGGAGAAGGAGGAGGAGAAGAAGGAGGAGGACTGGGATGATGCAGGGATGATGCAATAAAAAGTAGGAACCCCACACTAGCATGTGAGGAACAAAAAGAAAGAACAACTTTCTGCATTGAAAGGGGAGCTCCTTCCAAAAGGTGAAGCTCCACAGCTTGTTCAAGGCCGCTCACAGAGGATATCCTCTGATCCCCTCGCGGCGTTCCTGACCAACCCGTTCTCAATTGCAAGCTAGCGGGCGTGCGTGTCCGTTCTGTGAGGGCAGTTTAGCCTGGATATTTGTCAAGTTGAAACGGTTCTGATCTGCTTTGTGGAACCACAGTAGATTTCCATCCACTTCCTTGTTTGCAAGCGATCTGAGCGGTCCAAATGATGCACACCTCCATCCATCGCGCGCTCTGGTGCTCCAATCATGTCACAGACCACTGCTAGGTTACTATTTGGGCGACCATTGTGGAGGCGCTAGTCTTTCGTATGAGCTTGCTGGACTCCTGGAGCGCGTGCCGATCCATTGCGCGTCTTCCGCAAAGAGGTAGACGTTTAAGGCCGTCAAATGCATGGGCCTGCGCTCCCTGAATGTTGTGAGGGTCATGTTCAACTGCCTTTCTTCCACAAGAACTGCTCGTTTGGTGGCATTGACCAAGAATCGGTGTTTACAAAAAAGGCACGAAAACTAGGAGACCGGTACCGCGCCGGCCCATTCACTGAGCAATATATTTTCCGAGGCCGACGATCTTGAGGCAAGGATGCGTATGGCAAACGCAGCCAAAACCTCTGCTGACAGGGCGTCCACTACCACCTTTGGCTACAAGAGGTCAGCTCAGCCGGGGATTGCGCGGCCAAAAGATCATTGCGTCCGTGTCTGGAAGGCCTTTCTTGCATTGAGGTGGGTGGCGTCTTTTTTTCGGCCGTTGAAGGAAGGATACATTTTAAGTTTTTGTTTAACTTGAAACATATTGAAACCAGTTCAAGACCTCTCCTCACTTCCACTGGCTGAGGGCCAAGCGCCACCGTCACAAAGCTGGTTTCCAGCTTCACCCGATGATCGCAAGCCAGCCTAAATGTTTGCAGCTTGTTTCCATCATGAATGGTCTACTTAGTGTCAATAGGACATTATGCAACTCTTTGTGTAGGCCCATCACGTGAGCATTCGCCCGAAGCATTCACCTAGTCGAACCTGTCAGATATGATTGTGATGTCACACATTGTGACTGTGAACTCGCCTTCCCAAGGGCAAAACCCATACCACAAACTTCATTCACGAGCTGACCAACACTTGCCTCCACGGATACATTGCAGCCAAATCAAGCAAGGTTGTGACAGACTTTGGTATGAGTCTGAGCAGCTAAGCAAATGACTACAAATTCGTCTTCGTCACCTGCAGTTCAAAAGGCAAGAACAGGCCTGCACAGTCGTTTCTGCAACCTGAATACATCTGCCAGGCACACCAACTAAGTGGCCCATTGTGGGTACCAACAGGATAACCCGCCCAGAAACATATTTTGAGTTCTGCATGACTTCTTCATCTGAACACTCCACAACAAAAACACACCAGGCACAGGCACGTAGAATGCCCTTTGGGAGTTGTTGGAGCACGTTGTAGCAACTTTAAGAATAGCCTGTTGGTATGTGTTGTTTACATATTGATGATCTTTTTGTGACAGGTATTGACTTGATGTTCATTGGCCAACATGTTTAGTGGACACTCAGTGAAAAAACCAAGAAGAAAACAAGATGGAGCCCACGAACCCGAATGCAAACACGTTCAAAAAGCTACATATGTCCAAATGACACTCTTGTAGGACACTCTTGTGGGACACTCTTGTGGGTCACTCTTGTAGGAAACTCTTGTGGGACACTCTTACGGGACACTCTTGTGGGACACTGTTGCGGGACACTCTTGTGGGACACTCTTGTAGGAAACTCTTGTGGGGCACTCTTGTAGGACACTCTTGTGGGATACTCCTGTAGGACACTCTTGTGGGACACTGTTGCGGGACACAATTGTGGGACACTCTTAAGGGACACTCTTGTGGGACACTCATACGGGACACTCTTGTGGGACACTCCTGTGGGACACTCATTTGGGACACTCTTGTGGGACACTCTTGCAGGACA